TAAGATAATTATTTGGCGCAATTTATTGAGCCCTGAGAATGACGTCAACAGGCGGATCTAGCCTAGTCTAGCCTCCATACATGCCCGAGCGCAAGTTCACCAGGTGACACCGGAAGTTGAGCTGTAGAGACAGAAAGCAAATAAGTGGGAGGGGAATAATCCTAAATTTCGTCATCAGACAACATTGAAGATAAGGGAATGCATGAATAGGGAGATGAGGCAGAGGTCGTATCCTCATCATCGTTCCAAAAAGCACATTCAGTCGGACTGAGAGAGATGGCGAAGCAGTCGGCAGCTGACTGAAGATGTGTCGTGTGAAGGGATCGCAAAATGGAGGTGTATGTTCAGAAGGCCTGATAGAAGCGAGTAGTAATTTGTGGTTTCCGAGACCTCGGGTTTGAATGACACGTTTAGTGTATGAATCACTGTACTGACAGCATAAATGGATCCCTCACTTCTACTGACTATCTGCCGGCAGTTTGTGAATATGATGCCATTATTCCAGAGTAACTGATGGATTTCGGGTCAGATCAGCGTGTTACCTTTCGGACATAGTTTTAAGAAGGCTGTTCTGAAAGCTTTACTCCTCATTATGTTTCCGAAAAGTGTATTCGTTAGATCCGAGAGATATGGCGAAGCAGTCGGCAGTTGACAGAAGATATGTCGTGCTAGGAGGTCGCAAAATGTAGGTGATCTTGGGAGGCCTGTTTAACGTGAACGAACAATCTGCGTTTTCGGATAAAACCCCCCGGGTTAATTAGGTGCCTTCATATCGGTGCAGAGCGGCAGGATAGCACGGGATGTATTAGCAAGTAGGGGAGACAAAATTGGATGGTAAACTTTGGAATTCCACTAGTCATCGATCATGAACACCATCAGCTCGCGCAGATTAATCCAGAAACACGTACTGTCACACTAAATTTCTAAGTTAGACCTGTCTGCGCGCAATTTCCATATGACCAGCGTAATTGAAGGCACCATCCAGATGCTAGGAGAATGACAAACACGAGGGGACTTTTTAGCATCAAATAGGTGGTCATTAGACAGCAGTGCTGTGCTGCACGCCGTAGGTTCGTGTCGGTGGATAAGTTGAACCAGCACGGGACTTGATCGGAGCCCGGCAGGTGTTATCGAGGATTCGCACACGTAACAAATTCCAGCAATGAGGAATTTGGTGGCATGCCCATGTGCCGGCTCATGCCGCGCCAAGCGGCATCCGTGTCACCTTCCTATTTTAGTGCTGTGGTACGAAACCCCGTTCAGTGTCCGTTGTGAGCCTCCTATGCATGCGAGCTCTCAGGTGGACATCATCAGCCACTATCCACGATGGCCGAGCAATCATCACGCCAGCATCCAACAGAGGTGTTGAGATTTCAGCACTTAAGAACTGTCATGCCGACAGTGAAGCAATTACCGCACCAGCGGCCACAATTCTTGATGAGAGGGCGGACAGTTAATTAATACAGGTATGCGGTAGCATTGCGACTGCATCCTGAAAATACTGCAACCTCCTGTGCTCGAATTACCCGTTTCTGCCACTGTCTCTGATGATGGATTCAAGTGAGAATCCGAAACTTCGGGCGATTAAAGCCCTTGTTGCAGCAATCGCTTATCTTATTATTAGCCAGTGACTAGAAACCACACGTATACCCGCCACACCCCACCCCCACCCAACTGCCCGCACTACCCACGCACATTCAGCCATTGCATGGGCCTCCATGATGACACGCCCTTAGACACCTTAGACCAAAACGCCTAACCACACATCTACCCACCAGTCCATACATCACACACACACCCAAACCCCTCCTACATCGATCACCAGAGGCACAGGACAGGCACCTTTCACGTAATTTGGCAGCGACTGCTGTTTTTGCCCAACCGGTCAGGATGGGCATCGTCCTTCTCAGCTGATGGTCATCGAAATCGGTATGTATAGTGAGGCACATCTCGTGTGATTGCATTGCATCTAGGAACTCGCGGCCATTCCTCCCGATGTAGATGTCTACTATATGAACGTCCTCCCATGCAAATTTGGATTCTCTGTCAAGCAGGGGTGCGCCACAATGAAATAAATGGCATTGTCTCATCACCGTTGGCGCGTGATCATGTACACGGTTGATAGTAAATCTCCCGATTTAGCTACAGCAGACTGTAATCACGGCTCTAGTGATAGATTCGAGTGTGCACCCGAAGGATAACGTGAGTGAACCAGTGGTTTCAGCGGATACGTCTGCCTTTCACACAATCAAACCCGCCCGTAAGGTATACTAGCTGGGCACGCAAAGTTGCTGAAAGTCTCTACACTGTCTGGACGTGATGCATCCTTGACTACCTTGAGACGAGCTTGTATGCATTTTATGCATAATGGCACACTTGCCAGTCCGTTGGGTTCGGCTGTGATGTTGGAGATTAATTTTGCCTTTGACTGTTCTCTACGAATGTATCAATGCGCAAGGTTAA